TTTTGCAATTTTTTGTGGAGGGTGTTGCTAGTTTTTGACATATAAAAAAATCGTCGAACATACATACATAAATATGTATGTGTGTGGGTCGTATGGAATAAAATGACTGACATCTTCAACAAAAAAATGGCCAAATATCAACGATAAGTCCTAGCTACTTCGAGCTTCGTATATAGTTATGATGAACACTATATTTTAAATACTGATAATATAGGACATACTATTTTTATGAAGAGATTGCTGCGAAAAAAATTAAAAATAATCACATGTTAATGGTTCTGCGATCACGTACTTTTTCGGATAGTTTTCTCTGAAGCCTGTTCCAGGTACTTAACGATTTGCAAGATTTTACAGGGAGCTATTCTCGTACGACACCTTTCATTAGGTTTATTAACGGCGAACCGAAAATAAAGTTACTACAAAATTTTTTTTGAAAATACATGAATAGATCTAATATTTAATAGGATACGGCGATAAAGAAAATATGAAAAGCGACTCTAACAGGATTTTTTTGGTCCATTGAAAGGCCTATAACGTTCTGTCCGAAATTGTATACCGACAGAGTATAACCGAGTCCAGTTTTTCATCAAAATGAAGTAGAAATGAAATATAATGGGGATGAAACCACCTATTCAATTCGTCTGGGCTTGGAAAATAATTTGTGGTAGCCATGTTGATGTCTGATGATGTAGTGTGAATCACCTGAATTAGCTTCACTACTGCAAAAATGAGAGATATCGAGCGAGATGACTTCTCAAGGTTGGCAGTGTTCCCGGATTTTTGTAGTGATACTACCTTACCTACATATATTCCACTGTACAGGTATTTACACAGGTTGATGGTGCTAAGACCGGCCCGACTAATGGCTTTGGACGATCTAGTCATCCCGATGACCACCAGAACTTCGTTGTTGGTGAAAGCAAGTGGCACACTAGTGTTTCACAGTTTAACGATTTCTGCCGAAGGGTGTAGTGCGAATTTCCGGCTAAAATAGTTCATGTACTTCTTTGGGTCCGACGAAGTACACTTACTGAATGTAGTAGATACACTACCTCGTCGCGTTGAACAAATAACTGACCATAGACCAAAGCTTACTTGCACCAAGCACTAAGTTACTGGTCTTAACTTGCTTTGCCAATTCTGTCCGATTATTTTGATTTACCAAATTGAGATCCCTTATGCGGTGATCCCGCGCATCAACCTGTCGGAAAAGCAAGGTGGCTGAACATGCAGCGATCTTGCACAATCCGGGCATGAAGCGAACAGTAGCAGCTTGTACCAGTACCAGTACCTTGTGGAAAGTAGGTGGTACAACACGTACTTCGATAGGAATAGGTAGGGCGGCAAAAGTTTTTGTCTGTGTATTTCGTGCAGACGACCCCATTACCTTTGTTAAAGCTATTATAGGCACGGTAGTCCGCGAAGAGAAAGTCATCGCTAGGTGGCGCAGGTGTCGAGATATTTGAAAACCCCAAGTTTATGGTCCAATATAGTTCATATTTGGAATGAATATTACTTAAATGAAAAGGACTAACTCCACAAAAAGTGTTTCCCGATAGGTGCCACAGGAGTAGAGATATTTGGAACATCCCTATTTATGGTCCGCTTTACTTGATTGGAAAGAAATAACTCCACAAAAAATTTAGCCGTTAGGTGGTGTCCGCCAAAATTTTTGTTTGGCACTAAAAAAAAACTTGTTAAAAAAATTGTTTTTAATTTCTGGTTTTCTGTATTTTGTGGAATATCTGCTGAAAAAAGAGGAATTTATTTTACTAATTTCCAATTAAATAAAGAAACTAAAATATATGTATTTAAATCCTTTTATGACCTGTCTCGTTTCCCCACTCTCCTACAGACTCGCGCACTGTAGTTCTATCAGTCGCCTGTAAACACCTGCGCATGCATTTGGGACGCCGCGACGAGCTGCGACTCTGTGCTGAAATAATATCTGAAATTCTAAATCATCTATATGATCTGCAACGCCAGCAGCGCGAAAAAGTCACAAACACATTGCAACATGACTTGGATTCGCTGTGTAAGAACATCCTCGGTATTCTCATCAAAACCATAAGCATCATGATGGAAGGTGCTCATGCTGTGCTGCCACAATTGGTCGCCTGCCTACTTGGTCTGCTGCAGCTGCTCGATGAAACGCATTACAAACACTACTGGGACGAGTTGAGTCCCAATAAAGATCCACGTGATTTGAAAGATTTCCTTAGCAAGTCATTACTGGTATTCGAGGAACTGCTCTCACAGGATTGGCAAGTGTTTCCAACCGATTGGTTGATCATGAAGTTGGCTTGCAACGATGTGCTGCGCAAGGCATTGGAAGAATTCGCAAAGCCATTGGTTTATCGTTTTCTCGGTCCGCAGTCCTTCGATTCACCACTTTGGTGGTCTTACTTTAGTTTAGCTGTTACATTTCTAACGCAACCATCACTGCAATTGGAAAAGTACCGCGAACCAAAGCGCAGAAAGATTTTAAATACGCACGGTGATATGCGTGTGCTAATGGGTTTCCAAATACTCAGCATGTGGTCACAGTTGGGTGAACAAAAGTTGCACTTTATACCCTCAATGGTGGGACCGTTCCTGGAAGTAACGCTCGTGCCAGAGCCAGCGCTGAGGAAGGCAACTTTAACAGTCTTCTACGACATGATGCAGTGCGAGCAAGTAAGAACTTATTTTAATTAATTTACTATGTTAAGTATTTTACATTTAGAAAATATTATTTCAGAGTGCACGTGGTTCCTTTCGGTTAGTGGAGAGTGAACTTATCGATAAATTGGACTTGCTAATCAGCGAAAACAAGGGCGACGATGAGTACCGTGAACTTTTCAGCACAATGTAAGTTTTTTAATAAATCAATATTATTTAACATAAATTGCTTCAACTGGTATGGTCATTAGGCTGGGGTAAGCAAATATCAGTTGCAGAAAAAGTTTTTATGAACAGAAATTTCTCGTTTTTTACCATTTTCCAACGCCGAGCAGGAGGGTAAAAGAGAATTATATTTCTGTTTTATAGTTTTGTTCCCATATTTTTATTTTGTTTTTTTAGAATATCCTACAATTTGCTGGGATGGCTGCAGAAGCGACAGTTCTTGATAAGAGTTTACTATACCGTCAATTGTAAGAACGCTAGAACAGATGCTTTTCGTAATATGGAGAGATTATCTATGTGGTGTTTAAAAGTTATAAAAGTAAATAGTTGGATAAAAAGATCGCAGGGTTACATGATCTGCCGTTTTTTTTCAGTTTCTATTAGCCTGTTGTAAGTTTTGTTCTGGGTAATTGAAACAGTTATAAATGGCCCAATCGCACTCATTACAAGCTCCGCAATTTCTGTACGGCTTGCATTTGGCCATTTACTGTGGTTTCTTTAACCCTGGAGGTACATGCTTATTTGTATTTTGTAAGTAAACTACATGCTTCGTCGAATTGACGGCAGTCGTACGCATGATAGCTTTAGAGCTAATTTACTTACAATGAAGTGAAAAATTCCACCTCCGTAAAGAACAAAATGCGAACAAAACTCTAGAAAACGTAACGTCAAAATTTCTAAAGCTGGCTCTCAGCGATTGTGCCTTATAAATATTTTTATCATGGTTTGGTCTACGTAATCAGAGCGACACAGATTTATAACTGTCACTACAGCAGCATTCACAAAAAACTATTTGATGAATATTTATGCTGTTACCACAAAGACAAAAACAGGATTCTAACATTTCTCATTAGGTGATATCAAGACAATAGGATTCTTCCTTCCATACAATTCATCACCGAGCATCGATATACTCGTATTCTTCTGTTACAACAGAAATAATATGATTCCTTTTTCTGATGCTTCGAAAACATTCGCGGCATCGTCTCGGTTGGAGCTTAACTTAACCCGAATGGGATTATGCGCATATGTATATTATTTGGTATGAATATAACTCAGGTTGAGGAATTTTATTCCTTCCAAATTAAAGTCTCTCAATAATATGTTTAACTTAACCCTGCTAACTTTGTTTAATTTTGGGGTAACCATCAGTTATCCAGAACAATATATGTATACATAAGTATGTGCATATTTATGTAAGTGCGTAAATCAGTTGGTGCACGCCGACTTGCCCCAGTCTAATGCTCAATTCTAACATTTATGCATAGTTTCATGTGTATATGTGTTTATTTATCCCTAACAATAACTATTTTTTGTACTTATACCAGTTTGTATATATGTAAACATTTGCATATTTTGTACTAATCATATCATGTTAAATGTCTGTTCATCGCCTACAAATCGCCTCTTAAAAAATATGTTAAATATGCATTCAATTAACAAACACAAAATGCAACCAACCAACCGAAGGGAACATCTGAGCTTGGTGTAAGTGAAAAATCTCATCTCACCTCAGTCATCGTTTTGTTTTGTTGTTGTAGTCTATTACCTCTGATTTGCTATCATTTCATTGTAGATTTTCACATTAAATAGCTAAACCGATATGTTACAGTTGTTTGTTTTATTTATTAACCTTTCTTTCTAATGTATTTACTTATGTAAAATATTGAGATTTCTTGTATCGAATTATCGCTAATTTTTGGAACAGAAAAATGTGTGTAATTTAACAAATGTCATGTGGAAACAGAGTTATGGCGAATTTAAACCAAGCATTGAAATGGCGAGCTTGTGAGTCTTTTGTTATCGATTTTTTTTACATGGAAAAGAAATTTTAAAGCTCAAAACGATTTTTTAAACTATTCTTATTTGTAGTGAGGATACTTGCCTTCCACGAAACCTCTGCATATTAGAAACTAACCGTTGTACATTTTTGTTGATTATTTTAACGAATTACTACAAAAACATAACTAAACCAAAAACAAAAAAAAAATATATAAAAATGTGTTCGAAGCTGTAAATCTTGAAAACCACCGAATCGATTAAGCCCAATTTCATAGTTTATATTATCAGTTCAGCCCTATGTGTTTTGCCGTAGAATAAAAGAAAATCTTGGTAGAAGACGCTGAACTTCAGATATTTCTAGAAATCATTTTTACACTCCCCCTCATACCCAGAACAAACACATATTCACATATCTATTTATGTATTACTTTCGCGAAAATATTTCTTTCGAGTTTTTCCAAACATTCGTATTAACTGTCCGAGGTGCAGAACATTATAAGAATTGAAATAAAAATAGAAGCAAAAATTAATAATACTGCTGAAAATTTACTTTATTAGAAAGATAATTTTTGTGTCGTTAGTATTTGCATATACTTATATGTATGCATGTGCATTAGAGAGGCCCAAAAATGCATGTGAACAAGTAAAATCTGAATTTTAATGCCGCCACCCCCTAGGGTTGTTCTTTACCGAAAAAATATACCCCAATTTTTTTATTTTGATATAAAAAAAATTTGGGAGTTTCCAAAGCGCTCAAAGTTTTCCATGTATTTTATATCGGGAAAAACAACTTTTCGTAGAAATGGTGTAGAATTCTTGAAAATCAATATTTTTCGATCAGATTCCCAATAATAATACCCAATTATTTCTTAAGCCGTGTTTTCATGGTAGTTATATTTGATAGGTCCGCCAAACCCCCCCGAATATGCTATGGGGTGACCAATAAAAATCTTTTAAATAATCAACTGGATATTAATATTGGAAGTTTCTACGAAAAATTGTTTTTCCCATATAAAATACATGGAAAACGTTGAGCGCTTTGAGCACTAACTAAATATTTTTTGATTTAAAAAAAAAAATATGGGTACATTTTTTTGGTATAGAACAATCCTAGGGGGTGGCGGCATTAAAATTCCGACTTTACTATTTTTGGGCCACTCTAGTGTACATAGTTTCGGGTTTACGACTGCCGGCGGCCTAGAATATGGCACATTCTGCATATTAAATGGGACATTATCTCTACATCGTTCGCACAAACCAATGACTCCACGTGACCGCAAAGAAAATGTTATATTCATTTACTGCGGCCGGGTTCTGGTGTTAGCCTATTCCTGACAAAACTAAACTCAAAATAATTGATAATAACGTTGCCAGATTTGATCAATTTGAAATTGTTTTACATTTTTACCGTATGGAAAATTCGCAACAACGATGTTTTTTCAGGGGACTCAGCAAATATTTTGTTATTGAGTTTTTCGTTTATCAAGGTTCGTTATATCGAAGTTTCACTGTATAATTTATTCGAGTCATATACTTGTGTATATTAATAACTTTTTCTTAGTATATCTGCAATAAATTGAAAGCTTTCGTTGTTGTGCTGTTATAGTTTCTTTATAAATACATATTTGGACTTTCCTTCTTGGCAATAATGAGTTTTTAAATCACTCATCACTATATATGTATGTATGTAACTATGTTGCGAATCATTCTTACCTACGCAGCTTACTGGAAAAAGTCCAAACAGAGAATCCCAGTTGGAAGGATGCTGGCACCGCTTTCATAGCATCGGTAACGCGTTTATTGGAGCGTTTATTGGATTATCGTAGCGTAATGCAGGGTGAGGAGAATCGTGACAAGCGAATGTCTTGCACAGTGAACTTATTGAATTTCTATAAAAATGAAATCAATCGCAAAGAGATGTACTTGAGGTGAGTAAAAATACGATATTTTAAAAAGAATGTATACTTATAATTTACAAAAACCTATTTTCACTCGGACCCAAATATGTTCCTTTTTTTATTAAACGCCCCTGTTCAAGGTGTCAGTTGTGCCCTGTGGTAGCATTCGAGCAGTTCTTTTTGCTGCCTGAAGTGCGGCTCCTACAGGTCTATAACTTTGTTCACTGCATCCTACTGTTCTAGGTGACTAAACAGGCGCAGCATAATTTGGAACCTATCGGCCATGTATGTGGTCTGTTGATTAGAGAGGTAGCCACTTGGAAGTAACGCATATCATCAATAGTTCCATTTCCCTGTGCCAATACTAAGCGGTTATCAGAGTAATAGAACAGAGAGCTGAGATAGCTTCGATATCTAGAAGTTAAATAGTATTGGTGGGAAAGATTGATGGGCAAGCCGATCTAGGCAGGGCTAAGTATTTAAGCCGCTAGAACAACAACATCAACGGCATATTTAATTATCATATAACATATAATTGGTGTGCCATCGACGTGAAGGCCTGGTTGAAACCAGACTTCCTTCGTCCAGGTGGTGAAGAGGGTCGCCGTGGATTTCGTTGGGGGGAGAGTATTAGACTCCTTGCGGTGAAGAAGCGAGAAAGTTCAGAGAGATAGCCGTTTACTTTCCAACAGAAGTCATCAATTCCATTCCCCGATGCCAATATCGAACTGTTGTCAGTGCATGAGATCAGGGAAATCCCTTCCGGTGGCTGAGGGCGCTTCAAGATATAGAAGTAAAACAGTAGGGGGGAGTTTACATCCCCCTGCGGAACCCCTTGTTTAATTCTTCTAGGTTTAGAGGTTTGATCTCGGAAGATTACTGACGACTTGGGACCATTCATATAATTCGCCGACCTCAGTTTGAGTCCCTGTGGGAGAGCATTCATGTCTTCTAGTAGCGTGAAATTATAACGGTGTCAAATGCCTTTGATATGTACAACGCTACAGGGGCGGTTGCGGTTTAGGCCACGAGTTATATAAGTGTTCATGGCGTTAAGTGCTGTTGTTGTTTTAAGCACTTTACGGAAACCATGCTGATACTTCCCTGAGGTCAGGTGGTGTATAAAGTACGAGAGTAGCATGTTGTTGGCTGGTTTCCCCGGTTCCAGCAGTGGGACCACTTATAAGAGAGTGATCATTGACAATTTAAGAACC